AATTTTTTTACTTGAAAGTAACTTTATCCAAACATGAAGATATAATGATTACAACATCATCAAAATTTATATCAATTTGGTAAATATTTTTTCTTTAAAAAAAGTACTTTTTATTCAAAATATTTTTTAAAAAGTTTTTAATTTTTTTTTTTAAATTCAGAATGAATTAATCCAAACAGCACTTTAAGGTATGATAATTTACAAGCTTTTAATATATATAACAGTAATATCATAATTTAAACTTATAACCTCGTCTAAATTAGTAATTTCTTTTAAGCAGTTTCTAGTGACTTATAATGATTAAAACATAAAAAGTTAGAGTAAAGTTTTTTTTAGGTCTCAAACAAAAAATATGGTCCTTACTTTAGTTACTTACAAAAAAAAAAATTAATCGCTTGTTCCCTGTGATTAAAATTTAAAGTGGATTCATTTAGTCCTTTTGAGGGACTAATGTGGATCTTTTTTGAATTTGTGAGAGACCACGATTTTAACTAAATGAGTCCTTTTTGAGTTTTTTAGAAATCTCAAGTTTAATTTTTTTTTATAAGAAACTAAAATTGGAATCGTATTTTTTGTTAGGGACCAAAAAGAACTTTACACAAAAAATTATATCCAACAATTTAATGAAATCACGTGCTGTGTAGTGCGACCAAACACGAGAGTAATTCGCAAAATAAATTTTAGTTGGAGTGACTTCAACCAAATACATTGTTGGAAAAAGTGTTTCTTCTTTAAAATCACACAACTTATGTCATTTCATTCTCACCAAGAGGTGAAATCCACACTTTTATTTTTTTTTGTCCACTCTCTCTCCCTATTTATGTATCTCTTCCTCTCACTCAAAATGACATAATTTTACTTCTTTTAAAATGACACACACTTTTCCTTATATTATTATATGTAATAGTCATTTTTTTTCATGATATATTTGTTTATGATGAATGTTTGGATCATACTAACGTGTAGTATTATTACCAGCTACTCCGAACGAAGGACAAAGAACATGAGAATGTATAGCCGTAAGCATTTTAATCTTATTTGATTCAGTTATTTATTAGCAGTAATTTAGTTAGCTTATTCGGTTGGCACGCTGCTGGCCATAGTTGTGGAATAGTTGAAGTCATTAACAAATTTAGAGTGCGTTTCATTTATTTTTTAATTTCAGTTAATATATTTTAATAATAGCTATAAAAATATTTTCTTATTTTCACATTATTTTATGTTTTAAAGAATTTATTAAAAAATAATGAAAATGACAAAATCTTGCTTTTACTATTCTTGTGCGAATTCTTAATAAACAGAAAATTAAATGAAAAATAATATAATATTTTAAAAATTTTCATAACTGGTTGGGGGATTATGGAATGTGTGAATGAAATGTTATTTATTTTTAAAAAAAATCCAGAGACATTGTACTATAAAAAAAAATTATTTTATTTTTACATTTTTCTATATAATTAGATTTATCTCCATGGTAGATTTGTTAAATTAAACAGAATATGTTTTACATGTTGTATGAGACGATTTTATCTTATGCACACATAAAAATAAATAGGTCCATTTTTTTATTTGTCTCTTTTTTTTTATAGTGGGTTTGATCTTCTTTTTTTTATAATAATGAATGCAACATGATCCATCTTTTTTATAATAAACATATTCTCCTTTGTTAAAAACAAATTTTACTCACGCTTTTAAAGTATATAGCATCCTTTCCGTCCTCCCCATCCGACAATTGTAATGGTCTTAAAAAATACTGAATACAACTTAATGCTTACACTGTTTATGTTGTACAGTGTCCGTTTTTGTTTGGAAAATTTACACATTCACCTCCACACGTTGATGCAATTACCACAATCCAACCCAAATCAATAATGGCCTCAACACATGTGCCCCTCAGACAATTTTGGATTTGGATCTCCGTTACACGGACACGTAAATTTTGTTGAAATTTACGTGTCGGACACGAATATACGTCCGACACGCTCGGACACGCAGTCAATATTTGGAGACACGCGGTCAACTCTCTGACACGTTCCGACACGCGGTCAATATTTGGGGACACGTTCAGACACATTTTTTTATTTTTTTAAATCTTAATTTTATTTTGTTAACTAAATATAAAAGAAATAATTTATATATTAATTTTTTTCTGTTATAAAATTTGACATTAAAAATTAACAAATTACGAAAAAATTATTTATATTTATATTTATGTTATGAAATTTAAATATTTAATTGGTTATATGACTTATTATGGACTCTTATATGTATTAAATATAAATCATATTATATATATTAAATTTTTTATTTAATTTCAAAATGTGTCCCAACATGTCCAAATATAATTATTTTTAGAATTAACGTGTCGGCGTATCGTGTCGTGTCCGTATCCGTATCCGTGCATCGTAGATTTGGATTATTGTAACTTTTGTAGTGAGAACAATTAAAGTTCAATGTACCGCACCCAGAAGTAATCGATACAGTGGATTTACTTTGCATTTAAGAAAAATACATCAAATAACATTATGCTCCTGTAGCATGTTTCTTTCGTTATTGATCAACATTACTAGAAAAAAATCTGTATAATAACAGAATTGCTATGAAAATTTCATCGCGAATTTCATCATCGCAATTATTTTTTGTCATATATTCCCTCGTAATTCTATGCTAATTTCATCCTCATTTGCAAGAAAATTTATGACAAAAAATAATTACGAGAATGAAATTAGTGACAGAATTTCTACAGCAATTCTATTGCTATACAAATTTTTTTCTAGTAGTGAAAAGATCTTGATGGGTTATATTTAGGGGTGAAAGTGGGCTGGGCTGGGCCAAGCTTTGCCCCGAAAAGCCCAAGCCTACGTCAAAAAATTTTAATTTGGTCTGGCTCAAGCCTAGTATGAGTCTAACTGTTAGCCTGGTTTGGCCCGTTTATAAAATAACAAATGGCCTGGCTTGGCCAGTTAGCCTGTTAATTTTTAACTTCCAAGCATAACCATGAATCAACTTTACAAAGTACTCAAATTCTGTTGTTACACCAAAAATCTTATTTTCAACGTTCAAACAGAATCATGAATCATAATAGAACTCATACAATATGCATTTAAGTCATTTTCAAAAGCAAAATACTCAAACTAAACAACATATATTTCATCAGATCCAACAAACAGATCCATACTATGTAAATTAAAATAACTACATGAATCCAACAAACACATCATGATGCTTGTAGTACGAATAACCTTTCCCAAAAATCTTTTAATATATTCATATACACAATCTAACATGTTGAGATGTTCGTTCCTCCTATATAAAAAATAAAGTAAGATTTCTATTATAATATAATCGAATATAATTAAGTTATAAATAATTGCAATTGATTAAATTTATATCTTTTTTTTTCTTCAAGGCATACTTATTATATTTTATTTTATTTAAAATAAATAGTACAATATAGGCCGGCCTGTAGGCTTATAGGCCCGGCCTTTTAAAAGTGGGCCTACGGCTTTTTTATTAAACAGACTTTTTTAAGGCCCGAACTCGACCTATTATACAAAATATACTAAGTCAGATCTAGCCTGATGTAGGCCGAACCGAAGGTCCCTGTAGGCCGCCCCGTCCAATTTCACCCCTAGTTATATTACTATCAACACATTAAAGAAGAAAGTGAGTTCATTTAAGTAACTGTAGTCTGTAGGTCACACTGAAAAAACGGACAGTTGTGGGCGTATTTATTTGTGTAAAGCACTTCATCAGTGTCCATTATTCAGCTACAAAAACAGTATCCCAAAGTTGATAGCTAGTTGCTAACTTGCTATGATAACCCATTGAGTTTGAAATGGACACATGCCCCTCTGCCACATGCTCCTGTAATTTATTTCGAAGGCTTCTGTGACTTTGAAACATCACAGTCCACTGTGGTCGTGTTTGGATAGGCTTGCAAAAAAAAAATTATATGTCTTATTTATTTTAGAAGTATTTTTTTTATAAAAATTAAAGTGATTTAAATTTTTTCTTTAAAAATTAATTTTTGAAAAAAATATTTAAATTTTGATTTCTATTTTTTTAGAAGCAAAAAGTTTTAATTTATAAAAAAAAAGCAAGTTTTTAATTTTTTATGTGACTTTTTCTTTTTTTAAAGTAGACATCTAAATAGACTTTATAATAAGAAGTATTTTTTTAAAAAACATTATTGGAGAAAAAATCCATTCAAACCAATACGTGTCAAATGATGTTAAAATATAAATGGCTTTAATACTTCTTATCTTGCTGTAGATGAAAATTTTTACCACAACATATAAAAAGTCAGGATTCACATGTGAATTTTGGTGTAATTATGTTGGGTTTTACTTTTTTCAGGTAGTATGAGATAAGTTATCTTATGTTGTGAGATAAATAAAGTGGAGTCCACTAAATTTTAAGAAAAAAAAAGAAGAAAAAGAAAGACACATTTTTTTATATAAGTGTAAAATAAGAGATGAATCTCATGATCACAAGAGTATGATTTCCTATGTTTGCTATGAAATTTCTTATATGCTATTTCCGAAGAAGTGTCCAACCCAATATAAATACTCTGGGAGGTTTAAATTTCTTTATTTGATTTATTAAAAGGAATAATGTGTGTTATTTTAAAGGATATAAAATTATATTATTTTTAATGAAAAAAAAGAAATAAATGATGAGAGAAAAAAGTGTACAAAAAAAAATAAAGATTTGAATCTTTATTTTTTCGTGAGAGTAAAATGACACGACACAAATATTTTTCTGATTTTTAAATGGGATTTATACTTCTTATGTAACATAAGAAGAGCCTTCTTATGCTACACTCACATCGTTTTACGTGTCAATATTTTTAATTTTTTTATTTATCATTTTTCAATGAGCTCACCTGAGTTTGTGTGTGTTGCAAAAATCATCACCGTATGTCACATAATAAGTGTAAACCCCTTTTTAAATATAGCAAACTGTCCAGTGAAGAGATTTTCATTTCTCTGTCTTAACTTGTTTCAGGGTGCCAGAAAAAAGCAAAGATAAAAACCCTTCCTTTGTTACACAATGAACTCCAGCTGCAACAAGATGAAAACCGTTTCTCTTGTTCACAAAGTAGCAGAACTGGCAAACAGAACACTAGTTTTTGATTTTGAGGGTACTCTGTTACGATCCACTTCATTATTCCCTTACTTCATGCTGGTTGCTTTTGAAGCTGGTGGGCTACTAAGATCTTTCATCTTGTTTCTTTCATACCCTTTGGTGTGGTTTGTGGGTGAAGAACATCTGGGCTTGAAGATTATGGTTTTCTTGAGCTTTTTTGGTATAAAAAAGGAAACATTCAGAACAGGATCAGCTGTTCTGCCAAAGTTCTTCTTAGAAGATGTTGGGTGGGAAGGCTTGGAAGCTGTAATGTGTTGTGAGAGAAAGGTGGCATCCAGTAAGTTGCCAAGGATCATGGTTGAAGGTTTCTTGAAGGAGTACTTAGGGGTTGAGGCTGTTGTAGCAAGAGATATAAAGTCCTTCAATGGGTACTTTTTGGGATTGTTTGAGAAAAATAACAAGGCAAATAAAACCCCTTCATATGAAGTTAAAACGGGCAACGACAACAGTATTGGTATTATTGGTAGCCATATTGAGTATATTGACCGAGAACTTTTCCCCCATTTCAAGGTTTGGTCATTTTTAATACATACATTCATATACACACATGTGCACACTCATGTCATGCTTTATTTTTTTATTTTACTTTTATGCTAAATAAATAACTCTTGTTTTTCTAACTAGCTCTATTTCTGCAGAAGGTTTGCTTAATGTTAAGCTCTGATGAGAGGAGAAATTGGCGTGTGCTTCCAAGAGAGAGGTACCCGAAGCCATTGATCTTCCATGATGGTAGATTGGCTTTCAGACCAACCCCTGCATCTTCTCTAGCTTTCTTCATGTGGTTACCCCTTGCACTATTTCTTTCCATTTTCAGAATTACATTTGGCGTTTCATTGCCCTTCAATGTGTCTGGTCCAATATTAGCACTCTCAGGGACAAGAACCACTGCTTCAGGACCCCATGACTCTTTGTCTTTGGTCCAGAATGGAGAAAAGGAAAAGGGCATGCTCTATGTGTGCAATCACAGAACCTTGCTTGACCCACTTTATATTGCATACGTTTTAGACAAACCTCTATCTGCTGTCACATACAGCTTGAGTAGATTCAACGAGCTAATAGCCCCTATCAGAACTGTACGTCTAACCAGAGACAGAGAGAAAGACAGAGAAGCAATGGAGAAACTATTGAACCTAGGCAGCCTTGTGGTCTGTCCTGAGGGAACAACTTGCAGGGAACCTTATTTGTTAAGGTTTAGTCCTTTGTTTGCTGAACTTACTGATGATATTGTTCCTGTTGCTGTGGATGTTAATGTTAGCATGTTCTATGGAACAACAGCTAGTGGGCATAAATGGTTGGACCCCTTTTTTCACTACATGAACCCAAATCCTACATACATCATCAAAATCCTTGATAGATTACCTCAATCACGAACATGTCATGAAGGTGGAAACTCTAGGATTGAAGTTGCCAATTTTGTGCAACATGAGATTGGGAATGTTTTGGGATTTGCATGCACCAGCTTGACTAGAAAAGACAAATATATGGTCTTGGCAGGTAACGAGGGTGTCTATCAGAAATCTTACCATAACTGCCAGTAGCTACAAGCTTTTGTGTGCCACCCCTTAAAAGCCACCTGTTACTCTAGTTTCAAATAAATATTACTCGGTCAGTGATGGTGTAATGAGGAATTTTACATGTTTTGCTGTTGTAGTACCAAAATGTTACATTGCAGTTCTTGTGTTACGAATTCTGAATTATCCTTTTAATGCGTTTATAACTAAAAGATGAGTAAATAAATTCTTACTAGGATGGGATCCGCAATTGACACATTGCCATTCATTATTTTGTTAGTGTTGTCGATTCATCAGTTAAAATTTAAACTTTTATAATAGACAAGCATCATATATCTGTTGTAAATAGTAATTATGTAGTCATTTATTAGTAATTATGTAGTCATTTATTTGTATTAAATAGTAATTATGTAGTCATTTATTAGTAATTATGTAGTCATTTATTTGTATTTATTTAGTCTGTTACTTGTATATTGGGCCAAGCCCATTAGGTCAAGAAGTCTCTATAAATAGAGACCCCTATGTACAGATTCAAATACGATTCAATAATATTTCAAATACCCTTTTATTTCAAGTTGGTATCAGAGCTCTCGATCCTGAGGGCTCTGCTTTCGCGCCTATTGTCTTTAGAACAAGAACATTTTATTCTTTTTGTCTCTCGCTGCCATCAGCCGCCACCGGATTTTTTTTCCGGGGACCTCTTGGACCGAGAAGATCTCTGTTATACTGGATCTCTGTTACCATTCATCGTCTCCATTATTCTTCATCACAAGACAGCATCTGTTCATCACAATTGGACCCTTTCCCGGTGGTTTGCGCGTGAGATCATTTTTCCGGATCGGACCACCGCGATCTTGATCGTCCCTTCATCCTCTTTCTGGATCTGTGCTCCTCTCTTTGATCGGACATCGTTTGGTATTTATTTGTGATTTTTTTGGCTTCTTGGAGCTTTTCTTTGACCATTTTCTGTGCAGTATGGCCTCTTCTCAAAGGAGTTCTTTTTCAAAATTTTATGATGGTACCTCTTCTAGACCTAAGAGAGATGATCGATGGTGTTCTTATTGTAAAAGAACAGGTCATATCAAGGATTTATGCTTTCGCCTTTATGGAAAGCAATCTGTCTTAGAAAAGATGGCAAAGTTGCGTGGTCAAGCGCATTTTACTTCCTCTGAAATAACTCCTACACCTAATAAGACCCAACCTGCATTTCGTCCAGATGAGTTGGAACGGCTCCGAACCATTCTTGATTCTATGAGTAAGCCATCTGATACTAGTGCTTTGACTATGACTGGTATGAGCTCCAAAACTTATTCTTTCCTTTCTTCATGTAATGATTTTAAACATTCTTGGGTTGTTGATTCTGGTGCTACTGATCATATGGCTTGTTGTGCTGACTCCTTTACCTCTTATCATCCTACCATTGGAAATCATACAATAGCCGTAGCTGATGGCTCTCATACATCAGTTGCGGGATCTGGTGACATAAACTTACAGCAGTCCTTACATCTTAAGGATGTTCTTCATGTTCCTAAACTCTCCACGAATCTTCTTTCTATTCATAAAATTACAAAAGATTTGAATTGTACTGTAACCTTCTATCCTACCCATTGTGTTTTTCAGGATCTCGCCACGGGGAAGACGATTGGTAGTGCTAAAGAGCAAGGTGGGTTGTACTATCTGGTGTCACAATCTCCTGCAAATAAAGTAACAAATCACATCTTGATATCTCATGGTCAATCAATTGCTGATTCTTTGATTTGGCTTCATCATAAGCGCTTAGGTCATCCTCCATTTAGTTTACACAAATCTTTATTTCCGTCATTGTTTTTGTCTAAATCTGTTGAGTCTTTTCATTGTGATGTTTGTGAATTTGCTAAGCATCATCGTGTGTCTTTTCCTTCTAGTATTACTAGGAGTGTTGAACCTTTTGATCTTATTCATTCTGATGTTTGGGGTCCCTCTAAAGTCCCTCATGGTTCTGGAAATAGATGATTTGTTTCTTTTATTGATGATTGCACTCGTGTAACTTGGGTGTACTTAATGCGTGAAAAGTCTGAGGTACCACAACTGTTCTTTCAATTTTATAAAATGATTGAGACCCAGTTTGGTAAAAAACTCAAGAGACTAAGAACAAGTAATGGTACTGAATATGTTAATCATAGCTTTTCCCAATTTATAAGAAATAACGGTATGATTCATGAACTTACTTGTGTTGACACCCCCCAACAGAATGGGGTTGCTGAAAGAAAAAATCGTCACCTTTTTGAAGTGGCTCGTGCATTAATGTTTCAGACACATGTACCCAAATACTATTGGGGAGATGCTATTCTTACTGCAGCATTCTTGATCAACCGTTTACCCACTCGGGTACTTGACCATGTAAGTCCTATTCACTCTATGACTTCTTTTTTCCCTTCTATTCCAACTATGATGAGTCTTCCTCCACGAGTGTTTGGGTGTGTTGCTTTTGTTCATGTTCATAAACATCATCGCAGTAAGTTGGACCCTAGGGCTATTAAATGTGTTTTTCTTGGTTATGTTCCTGATAAGAAGGGCTACAAGTGCTATCACCCTAGTAGTAGGAAATTTTTTGTTTCTATGGATGTTACATTTCAGGAATCTGAGTCCTTTTTCCAAGATCCTCATCTTCAGGGGGAGAATCCTTCACCAGAAATCTCATCACCTCCCTTCTTTGAGTTTGAATCATCAGTGTCTACTCCTTTACCTATGTCAGTGTATCCTCCACCTGGTCCTGTCCCTCCTGTGTCTGTTCCTCCTGTGTCTGATCCTCTTGTGAGTAATCCTCCTGTGACTAATTCTCCTGTGATTGATACATCAAGTACACCAGAGATACGAAAGATTATGACACCTGAAAGAAGGAAACAACCCACATTGTCTCAGCAGCAACCTCAATCGTCTGAACCACTGGTAAGTCCTGAATCTCATATTTCTGATCATGATGTTAATACTTCTGATGACTTACCCATTACTACTGACTCTGATGATTTACCCATTGCTCTTAGAAAAGGAAAAAGAGCTTGTCCCAAGAAATCTTGTCCCTCCTGTACTCAATACCCTATCTCCAGTTTGTTTCCTCTGCTAATCTTTCTGTGCAGCACAAAAGCTTTGTTTCAGCACTAGACTCTATTGCAATCCCAAAATCAGTACATGAAGCCTTGAAAGATAGGAATTGGGCTCAAGCCATGCAAGAGGAGATGAATGCATTGAAGAAAAATAAAACATGGGAGGTTATTGATAGACCTACTGGAAAGAAAGCAGTAGGGTGCAGATGGGTTTATGCCCTGAAATATAATTCTGATGGAACTCTTGAGAGATACAAAGCTCGATTAGTTGCCAAAGGTTACTCTCAAACCTATGGCATTGATTATGAAGAAACATTTTCTCCAGTTGCAAAGATGAATACGGTGAGAGTTTTGTTATCCCTTGCTGCCCATTACAATTGGGATATAAACCAATTTGATGTGAAGAATGCTTTCCTCAATGGTGAGTTAGAAGAAGAAGTCTACATGGAAATTCTGCCTGGTTTTGATTCTGTGAAGGGAGAAAATAAAGTTTGTAAATTAAAAAAGGCCTTGTATGGATTGAAGCAGTCACCTCGTGCCTGGTTTGGAAAATTTACTAAGGTTATGATGACCTTAGGATATAAACAAAGTCAAGGAGATCACACTCTTTTTTTCAAGCACTCCCAAAATGAGAAGCTTACTGTGCTCCTTGTATATGTTGATGATATTATTATCACAGGTGATGATTTTGTGGAGAGACAGATTCTGCAAACACGGCTTGCCTCTGAGTTTGAAGTCAAAGACCTTGGGAAACTGAGATATTTTCTAGGGATAGAAGTAGCTCATTCGAGCAAAGGAATCTTTATCAGCCAGAGGAAATATGTTCTTGATCTTCTCAAAGAAGCAGGAAAGCTCGGGTGTAAACCCTCTAATACTCCTATTGAGCAGAATCACAAGATGGGTTATGAAGAGGAGAGTCCTCCAGTTGATAAAGGACAATATCAACGGCTAGTTGGGAAATTGATATATTTGGCCCATACTAGACCAAACTTAGCTTATGCTGTTAGTGTTGTCAGTCAGTTTATGCACGATCCAAAGGAGAAACATATGTAGGCAGTAGAGAGAATTCTTCAGTATCTGAAAGGTACTCCTGGTAAAGGGTTGTTATTCCGACGTGATGGCAATCTATCTTTAGAAGTCTACACAGATGCTGATTATGCTGGATCCGTGACTGACCGTCGTTCTACCACTGGTTATTGCATGTTTCTTTGTGGTAACTTGGTGACATGGAGAAGTAAGAAACAAGATGTGGTCGCCAGATCAAGTGCAGAAGCTGAATTTCGAGCTATGGCTCAAGGCATTTGTGAGTTACTGTGGCTGAAAATTGTAGTTGATGATCTAAAAATAAAATGTGAGGGACCTATGAAGCTGCTATGTGATAATAAGTCCGCTATTTGTATAGCTCATAATCCAGTTCAACATGATCAGACTAAACATATTGAGGTCGACCGCCATTTCATCAAAGAGAAACTTGATAGCGGGTTGATTACCACTCCATACATTCCCACTGGGCGTCAATTAGCTGATCTATTGACAAAGGGGCTTCCTTCAGATAGATTTCAAGAACTTGCTAGCAAGCTGGGAATGATAAATATCTATTCCTCAGCTTGAGGGGGAGTGTTGTAAATAGTAATTATGTAGTCATTTATTAGTAATTATGTAGTCATTTATTTGTATTAAATAGTAATATGTAGTCATTTATTAGTAATTATGTAGTCATTTATTTGTATTTATTTAGTCCGTTACTTGTATATTGGGCCAAGCCCATTAGGTCAAGAAGTCTCTATAAATAGAGACCCCTATGTACAGATTCAAATACGATTCAATAATATTTCAAATACCCTTTTATTTCAAGTATATCAATTCATTACCTCTTTTCCTTTTCTTTTCATTCATTCCATAACCAATTCAGTGGCACGAGTTACTTTTTTTTTTTTCTCCCCTTTTTTCTTTTAAATAGCTTTGGGTCATTATCACATGATAGCTGTGTAGAGCCAGTTTCTAATAACACTAAGGGAGCATTTGGTACGAGAGATATTTTTTTTACCCGGAAAAAAAAGATTTCTGATAATAAGATGAGAAATAATTTAGTCCGGGAAAGTAACGAAAAGTTGTTTAATAGATCAAAATTTTACTGAAAAAATGTGCTTAAT